TTCTTGACTCCTTAGCCAGAGCACAGATGGGTTGGGAACGCTGAATGCTGAGCTCACCTGTTGGACTTACAACCATTCTGTTCTGTGTGTGTATTTGTTGCTCTGTGGGGGTAGAGCCCACGGGAGCCGGGAGTCACGGGCAGCCCAGAAGACACAGGTTGAATGAAGCATTTCTCTCTGTTGAGCTAGTACTCTGGGAGCTGAAGGCTACACTGACTGTTGGTGCCCCCTTCATCCTTGGTTTCCCTCCTCCATATTCTTTGAACAAATGTATGCTGGGCATGGAGGAGACCAGGGTCAGGAAAAGCACTGGTCCTAGTCTTCACGGAGCTCACAGGAGGAGAGATAACCCAGACTATGCCTGGATTAACCATCAGGCAGAGAAGGGAATAACAAGCTCCGGGGTACAGACAAGGAACCTCCGCTGTTCAGATTCCTTCCAACTGGGAAATGCTACTGGGATGAGATAGCACCTGAGAGACAGGAGCATTTGGCCTGTGGTTACACGAGGTCTCATGGGATTGCTTCTTCAGGTCCCCTGCAGCATCAGTGACACCGAGGGGGAGGGGCAGAATCTGTAAACAGAGATCAGGCAGACACACCCATCTCCTCCCTGGCAGGTACAGGGCAATTCTGGAAGAAGAAAACCCCCCAAATAACCAGCCTGCCTGCCACTTCACACAACATCTCATCCTCGGCCACCTGGTAGCCTGAGGCCTTGGGGCTCAGGGTCCAACTAGAGGTACCTCTGGATGCAAAGGGGGTGTAGGGAGGATGGCAGAGAACTCTTGTGGCCTGAGCCTCTGGGGAATGTCGGGAGCTGTGTGCACATCAGGACAGTGATGCCGTCTTCCTCTGGCAGGTGAGGAAATGAGGCTGGAGGTTACACAACTGGCTTGAGGTCAAAAAAGCTCAGAGGGCAGCCCGCCCAACCCCAAAGCTGATGCTTGGTCCCCTTGTCCCACAGGAAGTAGGACTGGGTCCCAAAGGATTGATTTTCTGAGCCTCCCAGGGCTCAAACAAGCATGCAGTGCAAGGGATTCACTTGCCAATTCATTCATTTAACAAATGTACACTAAGCACCTATCACGCACCAAGTTACAGGCAGTAGGGATAGAGCAGGGAACAAGTCAGGTGATGTCTCTGTCCCATAACGCAGCATGTGTTCCAGTGCAGGAATACAGACATATCAATTACATGCACAGGGAGATTCAGAAAGTTAAAAGTGTGATCAATGAAACAGATATTAGGGAACAACGAAGTGGAGGTGGGGGGCAGCCACTTCAACCAGCTGGTCAAGAAAGGTCTCTCTATGCCTTTAAGCAAAGGCCTGAATGTAGTCAGGAAAGAGCATTCCAGCAGAAGGAACAGTCTGGGCAAACGCCCTGAGGCAGGAACGACATCTATGTGCTCTAAGAGAAAGACCAGAGTGGCTGGAGTTGGAGAGAAGAAAATAGTAAGATATGAAGTTGAAAGTGGAGACCAGTGAAGCAAAGCCCTGCAAGCAACAGGAAGGAATCTGGAATTTAATTTTAATGCAATGGGAGGCCTTTGGGAGATGGCACAGAGTACAGTGGTTGAGGGTGTGGGCTCCAGAGTTGAAATCCTGAGTCTGCCACATACTAGCTCTGTGGCCTTAGACAACTTACTCAACTTTTCTGTTGAGTTTTCTTTTCAGTTTCTTCATCTGCAAATGGAGATAATAATACTACCTACCTAGGGGGGCTACTGAAGACCTAAATGGATTTATTATCTCACATACAGCACTGAGAACAGTGCCTGGCCCCTGGGAAGCTCTTAAACACGACTTTTAGAGGAGTTTAAGCAAGGCAATGACAATATCTGATGTATGATTTCAAAAATCACTCTAGCTTTTATGTGAAAAAGCTACGGGAGAGAGCAACAGAGACAACAGAGAGCCCACAGATGAGGTTCTTGTGTGGGTCGGGGAGTTCTGAGGTGGCTTGGATTGATGTGAAAACCAAAGTACGGAAAAGGAGGGGTGTAGATACATAGCACACAAGACTTTCTGATGGCCTGGCTTTGGCACAGGTGGGTTCCTGCTCTGGGTGTATGAAGAGCTGCTTCTCTGCACCTCAAGTGTGGAGGGCCCCCGGGGGAAGCCCCTTATAACTATGCACTTCCAGAACTCTTCACCTGAGTCTGAACCAAGAAGGCTGGCTCCCCAGCAGAGCAGCAGTTTCGTTCAGCTGGTGCAGAGTGTGGCCAGGCCAGCACTTGTCTTAGCTCAGAGCCCAGTGAGGAAGATAAGATTAGGCCATAGGGAACTCTAGGGTAAGTGATAAGGGTTCAAGGAAGTCAGCCTTGGGCTAGGAGGTCCTTCCACTTAACCCCAAGGAGGAGAGCAGAACCCTCCTCCCCAAATCCCAGGCCTCCTGCAGAGGGCAAATCCCCTAATCAATCAATCTCTCTCTTTCTCTCTCTCCCTCTCTGCATTCTGAGAAGCTAGTTTCCCAGCCAACCCATGAGAAAGCCAGATACCCAGACCAGAAAACGTAGAGTCACCAGAAGTCTTTATCTGGTTTCTAAGAAACATGCTGAGGGGGAAAAACTGCCCTATGTCCAACAGAAGTCCAGCTGCTCTTCCAGCAAGAATGTTTTACAGGAGGCAGAGAGCCCAACATCCTCGGAAAGCTTTGCTCAGAACACTCCACTCCCAGAGGCATCCGGACTGTGAGCATAAAAGTTCTTCTGGCTCTTACCTGCTATCCCTTGCAGGGACGTGCGCACCGCGTCCACGCAGCTCTGACAGGTCATCTGCACCGCGAACTCCAGCTGTAAGGGTGGCAGGGACGGGTCGATAAGAGCTCGAGAACCTTCCAGCGTGATCCTGTTTCACTACCCACCCCCACGACCACCGCCAACGGCATGGAGTAACGCCCCACGTGACTCCTTCTCAAGCGCCTTCTTCCTTATCACTCAAGATCACTCCAGGACCAACACCTCCCAAAATTAACGCCAAGGGCCCTGCTACTCTCACATTCCAGTGTTAAGCCCCGGCCCCAGGCCTCTACCTGGGTGCCCGCTCCCTCCCCCATTCCCGAGTTAGAGATCACCCCAGGGGCCGAGGTTCTCTGCCGTGCAAGGCTCCCACTCGAAGCCTCGACCCTCACCGTGCAGGCAGTCCCGCGGTCCTCTGAGTCCGATGCCATCCTGAACCCAGACACCAGCCGGAGGACCCGAACTGTAAGGGTCCTTAAGCTCCAATCCCGAGTAGCGTCGCGGAGAGGCAGAGCCTGGGAAGCCACTCCTTGCCCCGCCTCCTGGTGCGCGCGCATGCAAGGCCCTGCCACTCCCTTCAACATCCACGCGGCGGCGGTCACGGGCCGCGCAAGCGCACTTGGGCCATCCGGACAGTCGTTGCCTTAGTAACCACTTTGCCTACTCTTCCCAACGCCGAAGCCGCCAGCGCTGTCAGAGCTAAGATGGAGCCCTATAAACCCGAGCCCGAGCTCCAGCGGTTTTACCACCGATTGCTGCGTCCGCTGTCGCTCTTCCCCGGCAGGGCGACGGGCACAGAGTCGCAGAAGCACCTCCCGCAGGAGGTCCCGATGCTGCTGCCCCAGCCGGTCTCACGGCTGACGGTGGAGTCGCTCTGCCGCCAGGTAGCTGAACGGCTGGCCAGCAGCGGGCTGGAGGCGCGCGCGCCTTCCGAGGTGCGACTCCGTTTCACCCAAGTCATTCTGGATGAGCTAAAGTGCAGCTGGCAGGAGCCTCCCACCGAACCTAGTCTGAGCCACTTGAACAATCTGAGGCTGCGGAAGCGGCTCCAGGTCTATATGCTGCTCAGCAGCGAGCAGCTCTTCATACGCTATCTGCACCTTCAGAAGATCATGTCGACCGCCGCAGGTGTCTTCACTGAATCATCCACTCTCACCCGGTTGGCCGCCCGCCTCGCCAGGGACTGCACAGTCCTCCTCACCAGCCCCGAGGTCTACCGTAGCCTGCTTGCTGACTTCCGCGCCCTAGAGCAGGCCCAAGCCTGCGTGCCCAGGCTGCGCCCCGTCGGCCCCGCTGGGGCTTTCAAGCTCTGCCCTATCCCGTGGCATCACAGCACTGGCTTCGCCCAAGTGCCATATTTCAACCTCAATCTGAACTACCTCATCCAACTCAGCCGCCCTAGAGATTTTGTCGATGAGTCTGAACTGGATCCAGTGAAGGAACTGAAGTCCATTCCCCAGCTGAAGAAGAAAAAGCTTCTCCGCTGGCTGCCCTCCATGCAGAAGAGAGAAAGCAACTTCAATTCACAGATTGCGGCACAGCCTACGTACTCTGTGACTCCCGCTAGCCCGGCTCCTTCCTCCTCCCACTTGCCCCTCTACTCCCAGCTCCGGAGAGGCCAGTCCATGCCCTCTCTGCGTGAGGGCTGGAAGCTCGAAGATGAGTTGGGCCTTCCTCCGCTCTCTCCACGCCCCTTAACCCCACTGGTCCTGGTTGCAGAGAGCAAACCAGAGTTGGCAAGGGACACAGTGGCTGAAGACCTGAAGCAGATGATGAAGAACATGAAACTGGAGTGCACTCGCTACTCACCGCTGGACTCAGGCCTGCCCCTGCTCCTGGCGGCCCTGACCCACCACCCAGCTACAGCACATCACATGGAAGAGCTACAGAGAATGTTGAAGGACCTCGAGGAGAGTGAAGCTGCTGGGCAGTGGGACCTCCAGCCCCCCAGATGCCCTCCACTTCAGCCACAGCCAGTGACAGTTCCTCTGAAGCTAAGAAATAAGGTCGTGGTCCAGACAGCTGCTGTGCAGGTCTCAGAGAGAAATTTTTTGGACTCCTTTCATGTCGAGGGGGCTGGAGTTCTATACAACCACCTGACTGGTGAACTAGAACCCAAACTCATTAAGGAAATGGATATTGATCGCTCTGTTGGCAGTAACATCCAGGAGGTCTACAAGGAGCTAATGAGCCATGTCTCTAATAAGCACTTCTCTTTTGACCAGGGACCCCTGGTTGAGCCTGCAGCCGATAAAGACTGGTCGACCTTCCTGTCCTCAGCCTTTCTATGTCAAGAAAAACAGCATCGTATCATCAACCCCAAGCTGGCTGGACTTTATTTCCAGAGAGAAAACCCTTTACAGTCCAACCCTGATAGGATGTCCTCCCTCACATCATCCCAAGGAAGCAAAAGCTGGGAGAGGCGGCCTAAGAAGACCTCATGGATGAACTGGTGGGAAACCACTTTGTCTGTGGGTGACTACTTCAAGTACCTCATCAACCAGGAGACAGATTTCCTCCATGTCATCTTCCAAATGTATGAAGAGGAGGTGCCTGTGGAGATCGTGGCCCCTGTCAGAGAGTCCCTAAAGATTCAGCGCCCACCTCCCTTGCTAGAAGACGATGAGCCAGACTTTGTGCCAGGAGAGTGGGATTGGAACACGGTGCTGGGACACAGGCTAGGAACTAAGAGGAGCCACCTCCTGGAAGAATCTCACAAAATCCTGAGCCTGCAGAAGCGTCTGGAGCGGCTGTGGTCCATGCTTGAGGTCCCCAACAAGGACCGGCTGGACATGGCCATCAAGTACAGCTCCAATGCCCATCTGAGGCAGCTACCTTTCTTGGTGAGTGCCTGGGAGCGGGCCTTGCAGCCCATTCAGCTGCGAGAGATAATGCTGGGGAGACTAGAGTGGTTTGAGCGACAAGCCTCTGACCCTAACCGCTTCTTCCAAAAGACTGACATGGGCCTGAGTCGCTTCCTGGAGGAGAATCAGATCCGCAGTCATCTACACAGGAAGCTCAATCTGGTGGAGGCTCCTTTGATTCCCCTCCTGGAGGAGATTGAGTTAATCTTTGGGGAGCCAGTGACCTTCAAGGGGCGGCGGTACCTGGACAAGATGAAACGTGACAAAGTAGAGATGCTGTACTGGCTGCAGCAGCGGCGGCGGGTCCACCACCTTGTCCGGGCCCAGAAGGTCTCCCATCAGGCCTCCCTGTCCGGGAAGCCCAGCAGCCAGCCTTTGATAGTTCCTGGGAATACTCCCATTACTCTCTGACCAGGCCAAGTGCCCTCAGACCCCTCCCTCACCCCCACACACCCAGCAACTCATCCAGACCTTTTGACTGCTTTGAAAGAAGAAATATCTGGCTATGCAGGATTCAGGAGAATTGTGCTTCCAACTCCCAGGAGACTGAAATTAAACTTTGTTTGGACCATGAAGTTCTCATAAAAATTCCCCAAGCCCCTTATTCCCATTTATGTCAAGCCACACACAATACAGCCAAAATCTCATATACCAGAAGAACTGAGACCATTCCCTGAAGCTCATTGTCATGGGAAGTGTCAGCCAGGTGGAAACCATCCCCTTTGAAACACCTCAGTTTAGCGTTTCCATCACACTACATTAGATGGGCTGATTAGAGCCCCAGACCAGGAGGCTCTGTGGCATACTGTCTAAGAGCTAGTGTTCTGGAGTTCAGAGATGTAGATTTAAATCCCAGCTGTGTAACCTTGGGCAACCTACCTAATAGCTCTGCATCTGGACCATCATATGTCAAATGAAGGAGCTGAGTCCAGATTGTCACTTTTCCTCTTTCTACTGTTGGTAGAGCTAAAATTTTCATTAAATTTTTACCAGTTAATACAGACACATGGCACAAAGTACACAAGAGTGTGCATCCTTCCCTCCAAGACCTCAGTTCTTCTTGAGGGTAACAACTGTTACCAGTTCCTTGTGTATCTTTCCATTCCATTAGTTAGCAAATATTTATCCAGCACCTGCTAGGTGTTCATGCTTGGTCTACATCACTGAACAAAACGAAGACCCCTACCCTTTGTAAAGTTACATTCTACTGATAGGAAACAGACCGTAAACTGTAAACGTGGTACCTATGCACACAGAATGATAGAATGTTAGAGGGCGATTAGTACTGTGGAAAAAAGAAAAAGTAGAGGAGGTAAGAGGAAATAAAGGGCAAAGGATGCTGGTTTATTAGGATAGTCCGTGTAAGCCTCACTGCAAAGGGAAGATTTGAGCAAAGGCTTGAAGGAGGGGAAGAAGTAAGCCCCATGGACATCTGGGACCACAGCGCTCCTGACAGCTATTGCTAAACCTAAGGTGGGCGGGTGTCTGGAGTGTTCCAGAAAAGCAAGGTGGCCAATTACGGTGGAGCGGAGCGAGGGGGAGAAAGATGAGTCAGAGGGGTCGCAATAAGGTGCCAAGGGGCAGGCTGGATTATTTTAGGCCTTGGAGACAATTGTAAGAACTATTTCAGAGCTGGCCTGTGCACATATGAGCATGTATGAATCTATGTCTATGCATATGTTTATAACTACACCAGCAATAGCATGCTGTCCCATTTTGCCCTTTTATTTTTTTGCCTAACTTGCCTCAAGTTCATCCCGCATCAGTACACACAGAGCTGCCTTATTCTTTTTTGATAGCTATACAGTATCCAACTGTGTGTATTTTTATTTTGTTTAACCAGTCCCTTATTTGTTGGACATTACAAACAAAAACAATGCTCTAAAAAAAATCCTTGTTCATCTATTTTGCATTTGCAACTATATCTATAGTTTAAATTCCTGAAAGTGGAATTATATCTAAGCATAAGCATTTGTAATTTTGATAGATATTACTCATTATCCTCCATAAAGGTGATAACAATTTGCATTATCATCAGCATTGCATGAATATCACTTTTTCCCCACCCCCACCAATAAGGTTATCAGATTGTTTCATCTTTACCGTCTAATAGATGAAAAATAGTCTCATTTGAGTTGGGTTCTCATCTCTTTTATGAATGAAGTTGCATCTTTTATGTTTAAAGCTGTTGTTTTTTGTAAACTGTGCAAGCCCTTTGCCCAATTTTCAACTGGTTTTGACTGTTTTGCTTTCTTGATTTTTCAGAGCTCTTTATATATTCAGAAAATTTAGCTAACATGTTCATAGTTAACACTTATTAAGTTCTTAAATTGTGCAGAACACTCTCCCTACATGATCTCATAGACTCCTCATAACTGCCTTGTAAAGTATGTATTTTAACCACCATTTTACAGTTGACGAAATGAAGACTCAAGTAAAGTAATTTGCCAGGGTCATAAAGGTAGTTAATGGGAGAGTCAGGACCCAAGCCCAGGTCTGTCCGACCCAGAAACCTACACGTGTCTTGGTGTACCAATTCTGTAAGAAGTGAGAAGAGAGCCCTTAGACCCAGTCTGCCTCACCTGATCCAAAAAATCCCCATTCACCATTTGCTGATAAATAAACACCCACTTTGTTTTGTTTTCCCAATAAAACAACACTTCTCAAACTTTTCCACCCAGGTACCCCTTAGAATAGAGGAACGGAAATAAGCGTCTTAGTCAGGTGTGAGGGACTGGGTTGGTGGTGGGGATTGGGGGAACAGCAGGGGAAAGCAGTGCTAGCCTGAGAAATTTATTAAAAGTTGTTTATTTTTTAAATGTATGCAAAATTTGCATTCTACTCTGTTATGTGTCCATGTTTGTTTTACTATACAAATGATGCTTACTATTACTTATCTTTGAATTCAATTGGCCCTCCAGGCACATATGCTACAGTTAGCATTTCTATTGTGGCTTCTCTCCCTGCCTAACTGCTTCACCCTCTCGAAGTTACACATGACCCAGGTGAGAGACACTACAGCAGGGGTCAGCAAACTTCTTTAAAGGGCCAGAGAGTACTAAATATTTTAGGCTTTGTGAGCGATATGGTTTCTGTCGCAAGGCTCCACTTTGCTTTTGTTGTATGAAAGCAATTATAAATAAATATAAGTAAATAGGCAGGGCTGTGTTCCAATAAAACTTTATTTATAAAAATAGGTGGCTGCTGGAGGCTATAGTTTGCTAATGGAAGTGTTTTGGCATCAGCCCCTCTAAAAAGCAAACACACGCAGGAGAAGGAAGCTGTGAAGCTTAGTGCAGCATTTCCCAGAGTGTGTGCCTAGTAATTAATCCCGGGTGATAGTCCTGGAAAAAGGGTCCATGGTCAAATAACTTTGGGGAACATTACATACTATGATCCTGAATTCCCTCAGAGACTCACAGTACATATTAGCATATTGAAAGCTCTGATAGGTCTTACAAGACACAAACCAGTTTAACTTTGACCAAAGAACCCTTTTATTCCTTCATATCCATTATGGTTATTGGGAAATAAACTTTGGGAAATATTACCTCATGTGAATTCGTCCTCTGGAATCACTACTGACAATTCTGGGTGGGGTTAGTGCACAGAAGTAGGGCAGGGAGGGTACAGTCTTAGACATACAGGCACAGCTGTGGCATCTGGGCCTCGAGTAGCATGAAAAGGCATCATCAAGCCTGGAACAGGCTCTAGAAGGGAGGACACAGGAGATGCGGAGCCTCCTAGGCCTGCTTCAAGACACTTCCTCAGCAGGTTCTGGCCTTTCAGCCTGGTGTTTGGATGTGGAAATCTAAAGGCCTAGGACTAACTTTGCCAAAGTTCCAGACTTAAACCCATTGCTGTGCAATTCCCCACTGCTGATCCTATTTATGGATTTGGTGAATGTAATAATAATAATGCTAACTAATGTTCATCCATGCTCTGCTGATGACAAAGTGCTTTTCACAGTCATTCAGCTGAGACTCAGTTGAATGTAACTTGCCTCTGAACTGGTGGAGTCATGACTTAAACCCACATCTGGGGACTTTAAGTCCTTTGCCCTGAGGGTCTGGCTGCAGTGGGGGCCCCTGCTCTGAGCCAGGCCTCCATGCAGCTAGAAGTCCCTGGTCCCACCCCAGCAAAAGTTGTGTTGAGAATCAACTGTTCTCCAAGTGCCATGCTCAGGTGCTTTAAGGATATTACTTCATTTAATCCTCCCAACAATCTTGCAAAGAAAGAGAAGGCACTGTTACCTCCCTCTGGGGAAACTGGACTCTAGGATAACTGGACGAAAATCAAGTCTCTAAATTACAAAGGATTTTTGTGGAAGTTTTAGTTTAGTGCTTGCCCTAGATCTGGAGGCCATCAGACAACTAACTTTACTTCCAGGCTGTGATGATGTGCTGCAGCCTTTCTGCATAAAAATTCAGCCCATGAAAGCCCAATATCCTCTCTATTTGCTATTGCATCAAAGGGATGGCTCATTCATTTGCACATTTAAATATATATTTATTAGTTATTTAAATTAACACTAATCCCATTATATTTTTACAGAGATCATGTGTTTAACAAAAAATAATTTTTTTTAAAAAAAAGGAGTGAAAGGGGAGAGGGTATAGCTTAAGTGGTAGAGCACATGCTTAGCATACACAAGGTCCTGGGTTCAATTCCCAGTACCTCCCCTAAAAATAAATAAATAAGTAAAACCTAATTACCTCCCCCCAAAAAATTAAAAAAAAATTTTTTAAAGAAGTGATGAGTGGCTATTTTACTCTTTAGCAAATCTCCTTAATGGGAGACAACTGGATTTTCATTTATGTTTCTGCTGTATCTGTTGCAATATCACACAGCATGCAACCTCTGGAAAACACTCTCCTCTAGAGACAGTGAGGGCAGAAAAAGCAGATAACGTGTCAGCAGTATTTGACATCATGAAACCCCAGAAACAGTCTGGAGGATTCTGTCTGTATTTTTTTTTAGTAAAGGAAGGGGCAGAGATGGGGGCAAAGGCAGTAGTAAGGATGGTGGTGGGAACAGTGAGACATGAGTCAGGGGAGTGGGCCATTCCTGGGGCAGGGGCAGAAAAAGTGGGGGAAGGGTTTGGTTGACCAGCTTGTTTGCTTATAAGATGTTGAAGGCAAAGCCAGAAGTAAAACTACAAGTTAAAAAAAAAAATCAGTAATTCCGCAAATGGTCATCTAGCTGCTAGATAAGCAGATTGGATTTTGGTGACCTGGACACTGTGAAGCTGAGACCCGCAGAGCTTAAGCCAAGTGCCAATGGCTCACAGGTGCAGGTAGGGACCAGACTTGGGCCCAGGTGCTCCTGAATCCACTAAGACTATAGTCCCATCCCTCTTGGTCTTGGGGTTTTGGTGTTTGGCACACCTCTTCCTTGCAATGTTGTTTACCAAACACTTTTCTCTATATTGACTCACTTTTAAAACTTCTTTTAAAAGGAATTTTAATCTTACTTGCTAATACTATATAGTGATTATTAAGTGCCAGGCTCCATTCTGAACACTTTTCCTGCAGTGATTCATTTAGTTCTCATGGCAATGCAGTGAAGTACGTATGGCTGTGATTTCAAGGTCCAAATGAGGAAACAGAGGCACAGAGTGGTTATGGAACTTGCCCAAGGTCACACAGCCAGGAACACGGCAGAGGTCTGACTCCAAGGATATATTCTTAACCACTCTACAGTTTCGTTTCACAAAATTATCAAAAACAAATCTGCCCAGTTGAAGCCCAGGGGAAGAAGCTGAATATGGTCAAATGTTGAGCTTTCACTATTGCCTGTACCCTGAGGAAATCAGCTTTCTGCCCACCAACTGGATCCCCAGCAGTGACTC